CCTACTGCAGCTGTTACATCCCTGTTACATTTTGTTACATACCTTCTGCATCTGTTGCATCCCTGTTACATTCTGTTACATCCCTGTTACATGCCTCTTCTATAGCGAAGTATCATGCAGAATACTCCATGACCAATATTAATCAAGATTCAGTGACTGGGTGATAATTAGATTTGAACTTAAGGAACAAAAGAACATAGATGGAAGTTAAAGATGCAATTATCAACAGGGATGTCAGGCAGTACTTCTTTAGCAGCCTCAGAGTGGTCGGGAAGCGGAATGACTTGGATGAGGGAGTGGTGGAGGCGGGCTCCATATGCAGCTTCAAGACTAGGTAGGACAGGGGTCCACCTGGCAGAGTATTATTCGGAAGTCAGGAGCTGAGACTCGACCCCCTGTAACTACAGTTAAAGGAGAAACACACACACAAACACACACACACAACACACACCACACACACACACACACACACACACACACACACACACACACACACACACACACACACACACACACACGTGTGTGTGAAGTTGATGAGAAGAATTCACTCGATCGAAGACCAGGCAGAACTACAAAGGGATCTGGACAGGCTGCAGACCTGGTCCAGCAATTGGCTCCTGGAGTTCAACCCCACAAGTGCAAAGTCATGAAGATTGGGGAAGGGCAAAGAAGGCCGCAGGACGGAAGTACAGTCAGGGAGTCAAGACTACAAACCTCACTAAAGGGAAAAAGATTTTGGGGTGAGTATAACACCAGGCACATCTCCTGAAGCGCACATCAACCAAATAACTCCCTGCATCATATGGGCGCCTAGCAAACCTCAGAACAGCATTCCGACATCTTAATAAGGAATCATTCAGGACCCTGTACACCGGGTAGTACGTTAGGTCATATTGGAGTATGCGGCACCAGTTTGGAACCCACACCTAGCCAAGCACGTGAAGAAACTAGAGAAAGTGAAAAGGGTTTGCAACAAGACAAGTCCCAGAGCTAAGAGGTATGTCCACGAGGAGGGGTTTTAAGGGAATCAACCTGACGACACTGGAGGACAGGAGAGATAGGGGGGACATGATAACGACATCCCAAATACGAGAGGAATTGAAAAGGGTGGACAAAGACAGGATTTCCAGAGATTGGACACAGTAAAAAGGGGGACACAGTTGGAAGATGAAGACACAGATAAATCACAGGGATGTTAGGAAGTATTTTCTTCAGCCACAGAGTATCAGTAAGTGGAATAGTTTGGGAAGCGATGTAGTGGAGGCAGGATCCATACATAGCTTTAAGCAGAGGTATGATAAAGCTCACGGCTCAGGGAGAGTGACCTAGTAGCGACCCGTGAAGAGGCGGGGCCAGGAGCTCGGACTCGACCCCCGCAAAACCCCAACTAGGTGAGTACAACTAGGTCAACTAGGTGAGTACACAGACACATACACACAGACACACACCCCACACACACACACACACACACACACACACACACACACACACACACACACACAAAACGAACACATAAACATAAAAGTACAAACACCAGGTATATACGACCAACACAATTCCAAACATCGATCACTTTCAGTTCTCCAGTGAAAATCTCCTAGTCTCCCGGTCTCCCAGTCTCCCGGTCTCCCAGTCTCCCGGTCTCCCAGTCTCCCAGTCTCCCAGTCTCCCAGTCTCCCAGTCTCCCCGTCTCCCAGTCTCCCAGTCTCTCAGTCTCCCAGTCTCCCAGTCTCCCAATCTCCCGGTCTCCCGGTCTCCCAGTCTTCCAGTCTCCCAGTCTCCCAGTCTCTCGGTCTCCCAGTCTCTCGGTCTCCCAGTCCCCCAGTCTCCATGTCTCCCAGTCTCCCAGTCTCCTGGTCTCCCCGTCTCCAGTCTATATAAAAAAAAATTATATAATATAATATATATATATAATATATATATATATATTATATAATATATATATATATATATACATAATAATATATATATATATATATATATATATATATATATTATATATATTTTATATATAAAATATAAATATATATATATATATATATATATATATATAAAATATATATATATATTATAAAATATATATATAATATAATATAAAGTGTCGTGCCGAATAGGCACAACTTGCGGATCTTGGCTTAAATAGCAACGCTCATCTTGCCATATAGGACAAGCTAAAATTTTGTGTATGCAATAATTTCGCCAAAATCATTCTGAACCTAAAAAAAAAAATATATTTTTATTGTGTTTGTTTAGTATTAATTACTGAAAAGTATTTAAAATATACTTAGTAGGATTAGGCTAAAATAAATTTTCGCTTGTTATAACAAGGTTAGGTTAAATTTTCAAAAAATTCTTTTGGTGCAAAATTAAAGATTTTTACATTAAAAATTATTGATAAAAATATATCTTTAAACGTATAAGAGAAAATTTTGGGAAAGGACTTAACTTTAAATAGTTCTTGCTAATTGGCCAGTTTTACATATTCGGCACGACATAAATAATATATATATATATATAATATATATATATTATATATATATATAAAAAATTAATATAATATATATTTATATATAATTTATATTATATATATTTTATATATATATAATATATATATATAATATAATATATATATATTTATATATATATATATATATATATATATATAATATATATAATTATATATATATATATATAATTATATATATATAATATATTAAAATCCCCCCCTATATATAAAATTATATATATATATATTATTATTATATATATATTATATATATATATAAAATATATATATATATATATATATATAATATATATATATATAAAAATATATATATTTTAAAAATATATATATAAAAATATCAAAAACAACCAAAAAAAATAAAAATTAAAATTTTATATAATTATAAAAATAA